CCGCCCCGCCCGCGCCCTGGAGCCTCCAGCCGCTCACCATGAAGATCATGTCCCAGAGCTCCTTCAGGAGGCAGACCTCCTTGTGACAAGCCTTGAGCTGCCTGTAGTCGGGGACGGCCACTTCGAACAGGCCCCCCGACTTGCTCAGCCCCTCCATGATGTTCTCCATGGCCACGATGCTCCTTTGTTGCTGCGGGCGGGGGCGGGCGGGTGAGGCAGGCCGTAGGCACACCCAGTGGCACCCTGCCCCTTTCTCCCTGCTGCGCCCTGAGCCACGAGCATGCTCTACGCCAGCCCCTCTTACGTGTCAGGACGGCAAACTCGGCCATGGGGGGCCGGGGGGCGGCACCCTCCCCTCCCCGCCCTCTCAAAGCCCCCCTGCTTCCGATCTGATGGGAAGGGGGTCTGGTCTGTCTTTGCGAGTTCAGGCCCGGGGACTGACTTTTCGGGGATGTCGTGTGAATGCCGAACTTCCTCCTGAGGTTCCCCAGAATCTCCCCCATTTCCCTGCTACATGTATTTTTTTTATCTTATTAAAAATTATATAGGGGATGTTGGGCTGCTTTGAAAAAGAGAAAACCCTAGATAAGCAACGGCGGGGAGCCATCTCAGAGCCCATGATTAAGCGCGGACCGCCACCAACAGGAGCTCTTCGCGTCCAGCCCGGGGCCCCGTGTGTAAGCGCTCGGGGGTCCCCGGGGAGAAGGGGCCTGTCTGCCCTGTGGCTCGGGAAACCGGAGGTTAGGAGGTGGCCACGGACAGGGGGTGCGACCTCGGCCTTCAGAATGGTGGGCGTCAAGCTGAGCAGGGGAAGAGCAGCGGCTTGGGGGGGAGCGTGGCGGACCCTGGGGGACACCTCGGGGCTCCCTGTGCTCTCGCCGCAGGGCAAGGCAGAGGTGTGGGCTGGGCGAGGTGCTGGAGCAGAAGCCCCGGCAGTGCCCAGCGTGCTCCCGGGGCTCCCTGCCGGCCCTGAGGGGCCCGTGGGGCCCGAACGTGAGTGGGGGCCAGGTCTCGGGCCGTGGAGCTTGCGAGGCGGACGCTGACCATGGATGTCACAGTGGGGACAGAGAAGGGCAAGGGTGAGGCTTGGCCACGGGCTGCAGGTGGTGGCCAGGGGCAGGAAGGTACCAGGGGGCAGGAAGCTGCTGAACGTGAGGGCGGCTGGGGCCCAGGAGGCACAGCGCAGGGGGCGGGTGTGAGCGGCGGGCTGCAGGGGAGGCGAGTCCCACGGGGCGTTTCTGGGCTCGCGGGAACGACAGCCGGAGGAGAGAAGGGGCGCCCGGCTCCGCCTCGGGCACCGTTACCTTGCTCAGGGACTGGTAGGGCTCGGGGTCGCTGAAGGCGAACGGGGCCTCCTGCCGGAACTTCTCCCTGAACTCGTACTGCTTGAGCTGCGGGCGGACACGCGGGTCAGGCACCTGCCGCCCGCGGCAGCCCCGCCCCCCACGCGGCGGGCGCACCCCCTGCC